CACCGAGGGCTCTGGACTCTCTGCCTGAATCAATATTGAACCTGCCCCGTGCTTGCTGGCAAAACAGATGGGTACATGTGCCCAGGGATCAAGGAGCACCTTAGGGGAAAAAGGAATGGAGAATACAATCTATCCCCTTCCGAGTTTCAGCGATCCTGAGGGCCCACGTTGGTCTAGACTGAAGACTGGGCGGGAAGTGACTTGAAGTGCCCTCAACAGGGAACTCACCCAGGGAAAGTGACCCAGCTAAACAAAGGGCCTAAGTGGCGACAGGGTTGGTCTGGCTCTGAAGGTGTGTGGATGAGGCTGAGGCTGGAAACCCTTGCAGGGTTTGGCCTGCAAACAATGCTGAGAGGCCGACAGAGCAATCGCCGCAGAAAGCCAAGGCCCCCTCGCGGTCGGTGCTGGAATTCCCTGACGCTGGGGATTATAAACAGGTGCTACGTGCACTCGCCTGATAATTGCTCCCGAGGATTTCCTCTCCATTCCTTAATGATCCCCTAAAGCGCTCTGTTAAGTAAAGGATCATCACCCCCAAGGATCCACCCTTAGTTCAGACAAGTGAGTAACGTTTTCAAACAGCAATTTTTTTCTTTCACATATCCTAGACCAGATTCTTGGTCAAGGGATTTTTTATCAAGTCTGGGTGGATTTTTCTCTTATTTTTCTTCCTTTCCCTTCTCCAGCCCCCATTTCATAGGTAATTATGTCCAATGTCTTATTTAATGTCTGTTTTCCTTCAGGGAATAGGGATTGTCTATTGCTGTCTCCTTCCCCTAAATAGTAGTGCACATTTATAGGGTAACTGAATTAATCAGGCTTTTTGCATCAGTAGCCTCTATGTCTATCACCTGCGGCCTTGATCGTGTTAATGCAGAAGGCACTTGAGAGCGTGGGTGCAGGGCACGCATGGCTGATGGTGGACACCTGGAGTATGGTGTGGGCATGCGTAAGTGTGCACACCTGAGCCTAGAGGCCGGCCTGCAAGGGTGGCGTCACCTAGACGACTACTGTGAGAAGATGAGTGGTGTTACTAAAACGAGGTGAGACCACAAGGGAATGCCAGAGAGAGCCCAGCGAGTAAAGACCCCCAGGGGACTCGGGGGCTTGGTTGCTGCCAGTCTTGCAGCTCCCCGGCTCCCCAGGCCCCCTTCCTGCCCTGCACCTGGTTGCCCCACTACAGCATTCACTGGCTCATTCATTTGACAAATAGTTAGGGTGGGTCTGTTATGTGCCAGGCCCTGTACTACGCTTTGGGGGGGTGCATGTGAGGGAGTAGCAGTTCATCAAACACCGTCTCTGCTCTTTCTAGTGGGGAGATGGAGGACAACTGTGCAACTGGTTGCACTCTGGCTGCTGTCATGAGAAGAGCCTGAGCAGGCTCAGAGGGAGCTGGGGGAGCAGTGAGGCGCTACCGCAATGGGCAGCCAGGGCGCCTGACGGAGCAGCATGGGCGGCCAGCACTCAGCTCCGGGGCAGACTTGTCTTCGAGGGCAGGGCCAACAGAACTGGTGCTGACACACGCGGGTAATGAATAGATGTTTGCTAAGTGAAGGCTGAATCGTGAAGCTCCCCACAGCCTGCCCTAGCTGCTGCCATTTGCCTGTTGCCTCTGGGTCTGCAGCCACAGCCCATTGGACTCTGTCCCACGGCTGCATGCCCCACACCCACAGGCCTCCCAGTCCTCTGGTCTCCATTTTCAGGGGGCTGCCAGTCCTCCAAAACCGACGGGCTTCCCAGCTACAAACTTCCACGGCAGCCGCCGTCTACGCGGACAATGTCTGTCTCCAGCATGAGGTCACTGGCTGCCGGGGGCAGGGGCTCTGACCCTCACTGCTGTATTCCCCCCTAGAAGGGAGCCTGGGGCCCAGAAGCCACGGGGAACTATTTGCTGAGTGGTGACTGGACAAAGCCGCCCACACTGTTCTTCTGGGCTCTGGTGTCTGCCTCCAAACGGACGGGCCCCGAGGTGAAGCTGGACTCTGGGCCCCGGACCACCCTCTTCCCCTTCCAGACAACCTGGGTCCTTGTTCCCTTCATGCTTCTGTCCCGGCCCCTTCTGGGGTGAGCTGCCGGGGGGCCCTGGGATAGCTGCCCTCAGACTCTGCGGGCACCGCCTTAGAACATCCATCTAGTTTGGAGCCTCCCCCTCCCTGCCCACTGCCCGAGACAAGACAGTCACCCAGGGGTACTTTTTCTAAACTTTTGTTTATTTTATAGCAATTGTCATGATTAGAGAAGTAAATAACACATTTAAAAACCTTCTCAGGGCCAAAGGATCCAGACTATTTACAAACACGGGGGGGCAACACATGGGGGTCTGGGTCTTAGGGCCGGGATTCCCCCCCCAGGCCCTGAGCCGGGCTTGGACTCTGATGCCAGCCACTAGGGCTGTCCCACCGCGACCCCGTGGGTACACGGAGCAGCGGGGGCCGCGGGACTCTGCTCAGGGGGCCGGGTGGGAGACCCTCCAGCTAACTTTGGCCCTGCCTCCCGTCCAGGGGGCTCCCCAAGCCCCACAGGCCAGCTCAGAGGGGCCTCTGGGAAGCACCGAAGGTCAGGGGACAGTGTGGGGGGCACAGGGGCTGGGACAGACACACACACACGCACACACACGCACACACACCTTCACAGAGGAATTGCCAGGGGGATTTTTTTTTGTTTTTTCTTTTTTTTGTATTCTAAGTCTTCATATCTACGGTGGTATTAATTTTTTGCTATTTATGTTTTGTTTCTTCGACAGTGACATAAACTGAGGTAAACATCTGAGACCAACACCTCTCCTACGGGGGCAAAGGGTCCCCACCCGGCGGGCAGAGGTGGTGGCAGCAGAGGCGGCACAGGAGCAGACCTGGCCCGGTCCTGCTTCCGCGGCAGTCCCCACACCGCTGCCCTCTGTGCCTCGGAGAACGAGGGGCCGGGCTAAGTAACTACAGTCCCTTCCCAACGCTAACACGCTAACACCCTAGGTACTACGAAGACGAGGGCGAGGGCGAGAACTCCCAGACAGGATCTTAACAGAGAAAGAGGGGGGCGCACGGCGAGGGACGTCTACTTGGGATCTCGCTTCCTTGTTATTGCAGGCGACAGGATGTCGAGAGGCCTAAGGCAAAAGGAGAAGTAGCGGCTGGGAGGCGCCCGGATGGGCTCCAGGTGGGCCGGGGGCAGTGACGGGGGGCCTTCTCAGAGACGTGGCCCTCGGTGGGAGCGGGGGTGTGCTACTTACCTGGCGTGTGGAGGGCCCCAATGCCCGCCGGGGAGGTGGGTCTCGAGGGAGCGGGCACACTGAGGAGCGTGGGGCCAGGCCCTGGAGCAACCGCACTGTTTGTAAACTGGACCCGGGCAGGGCAGGGGGACCTATAGCCCTTTTGCGCGGTGGGAATGAGGGGTGAGTGGGGAGGGGTGCTCCGGGCCAGAGGATGGTCAGGGTGCCCTCTGGTTAACCTGGCCCATCAAGGAGCCCCCTCCAATGTCCTAGAAGCCCAGAAGGGACCCTGGCAGGTGTGGCATGGGACGGTGGATGGGACACTGCCAGGCAGAGGGAGCAGCCTCACCCATGTTGAGGTTATTGCGGGGTCCCAGGCCTCCACGGAGAGGGCAGGGGTCATGAGGGAGCACTGGGTGAGGTTGGGTTCCTCTGGTCTGTTCTGCTGCCCAGGGGCCTGGACCAACCTGCAGGTGCCTCCTTGCCGATTCCCTGAGGGGTGTGGTGAAGCCCAGGCCTGGACCCCCTCTGGCAGCTGCCTGGGGCGGGGCTGTTACTGAGGCGTCTGGATGCAGCCATTGAGCACACACGTCCACACGCACACACCTGTGCATTCACACGGCACACTCGCACACTCCCCCCTCACATTTCACGGCCGAGTTCTCACACCCACAGTCTCCTCATGCCCGCAGCAGCACGATCCAGCACCAGAAACTTGGGAGACCATGGGACCGGGTCAGCCCGAGGCCGGCATGTTTACTCCTGTAGAAACCCAGAAGTAATTTCTGGCACGAATCAACTCAGCGCCTGTCAGCCCCTTGGGTTGCTGCAGTGAGGACGGTGAGGTGCCCTGGGAAGGTGCGGCCAGCAGGGGGCGCTGGGCCCCGCCGTGGGCTCTGCACTCACTCCCGGCGAGGCTTGCAGGGGCAGCCGGGGCCCCTGCCGTGGGAGCCCTTCTGGCCCTGAACTGTCAGGACGGTCTCTGGGAGGAGGAGGCGGGCTGCCGGGGCACCACGTCTCTGAGACTTGTAGCCCAAGGCAAGCTGCCCTCCTCCGTGGGCTCAGTGTCCTCACGGGGGCAATGAATTGTGGGGGAGTCACTAGATTTTGGGGGCTCATATGCACGTGCGCACACACATGCACACACACACTCACTCACTCTCTTGCAGCATCCAGACATTTGCTACATTTTGCAGGGGGGTTGGCTTCTCCCCGTCAGCCTCCCAGGAAAGCGAAGGAGGCAGCTGAGCAGCACCCCCGCCCTTAGTTCCTTGCTCCCCCGCTCAACCAGGGTCCAGGGGCCTCAAGCCTTGAGGGCCTTACGCCCCTTATGTGCCCCAACACTTTAGTCCTTTCTGCGCCCAGCGTGGGTAACCAGGAAGGCAGGGCCTGGGGTGGGGCCGCGGGATGATCTGCCGGGGGCTGCAAAGGGCTGAGATCAACTAATCAGGGTTCCGGGGTTCAGGAGGGAGTTGGGGAGCCCAGGGGTCACCGGCGAGCGCCCCGGCTCCCAGTGTCGCGGGGGTGGGGGGGCCTCTGAATCCTCGGGTCTGGGACTTGGCGCCTCTGGGCACGCCCTGCCCCCCAGGCGGGGCCCGAGGTCTCTCGGCGGTTCTCTCCCCGGCGCCGCCGCGCCCCGCCCAGGCCGCCGCCGCCCTCTCCAGCGCCCGTCGCGGGGCGGGGCGGGGCGCTTTGGCCGCGGCCGCCGCCTGCCGCTCGGGGCGGGCCGAGCGCGGCTCCCCGCGGCCCGGCCCGGCTGCGCGCACGGCGCCCCGGCCCGCGGGCGGGGGGCGGCTCAGACGCAGATCTCGATGGCCGTGGCCAGCACCACCTGCCCCTTGCTCTTGTCCGCGCGGCCGTCCGTCCTGCCGGGAGGCCCCGGGGGCGCCAGGCCGGCCTCGGGCACCGGCACGGGCACGGGCACGGGCACGGGCACCGGCCCGACGGCGGGGGGCGCGGGCCGCGAGCCGCTGCCGCTCTCGGTCAGCACCGTCCGCTTGAGCGGCCCGGGCGCCTCGAGGCGCAGCGGCCCGGGCGGCAGGCGGTCCCCGGCGGGCTTGCGCGCGCGGTGCGAGGGCCGGCGCCGCAGCTCGGACGTGAGCTCGTGCTTGAGGAAGCGGAAGACCTCCTTGGCCGGCCCGCGGCGCTCGGGCTCGAGCGCCAGGAGGCGCTGGAACATGCGCAGCGCGGGCTCCGTGAAGCGGCGCCACTGCGAGGGCAGCCCGGGCAGGCGGCCGCGCTGCCAGCGCACGAACTCCTCGAAGAAGGCGTCGGCGCCCGACGCCGCCTCCCACGGGAAGTTGCCGGTGAGCACGCAGAAGATGAGCACGCCGAAGGCCCACACGTCCACGCCCGTGTCCACCGCGAAGCCGTCGGCGCGGCCCGCCTGGCACACCTCGGGCGCCGTGTAGGGGATGGTGCCGCTCACGCGCTTCACGCGGCAGCCCACGCGGCGCGTCATGCCGAAGTCGGCCAGCTTCACGCGGCGGCACTCGCGGTCGAACAGCAGCACGTTCTCGGGCTTGATGTCGCGGTGCACCAGCTGCCGCCCGTGCATGAAGTCCAGCGCCAGGCCCAGCTGCTGCACGCAGCGCTTCACCGTGTCCTCCGGGAGCCCCACCTGCGGGGCGGGGGGAGAGCCGCGCTCAGGGGCGCCGGCCCTCCCGCCCCCCACGCCTGTCCTTCGGCTTCAGCCCTGCCGCCCCCCCCGGCCCCCGCCTCCCCCCCCCCCCCCCCGGACCTCGGGGCTCCATTTCCACCGAGGTCGCGTCCTCCCTTGCCTCGGGCTGGGGCGAGGCCTGGCCTCTTTCCTGGGGTCCCCCCCCCCTTCGGATGCCAGCGCCCCCTCCAGCTCCCTTTGCTCTCTCTGACTCCGCCGCTTTCACCCCTACCGTCTCCCCCAATAACTGCAGCAGCCTGCAGTGAGCACCTGCTGCAGGTGCGGCGCAGGGGGGTGTGGGTGTGGGTTAAGAAGCCACCCCGCGGCCTCCCACCAGCTCCGCCTAGCGGCGACCGTTACGCCCACGTCCTCGGACGCGGCCGGAGAGGCCTGGTCACTGCTCCGGCGAGTAGCCGCGCAGTCAAAACCAGCGCTGGTCCGCTGCAGAGCCCGTGCCTTCCCACTCAGGGGCACCTCCTCTGGGGTGCCCCTGGTGCCCCCTTCCTGTGCAGCTGCTGGACTCCACTGCCGCCTCGCAGCGTGTTATCTGGCTTGTGGCAGCCTTCCCCAGCTAGGACAGGAGCAGCACCTGCGTCTTGTTCGCTGTGAACCCCCAGCCCCCCCAACAGTGGCTGACATACAGCAGGTGGTCCACGGTGGGTACTTGTGGAAGAAAGGAGGGGTCTGGCTCACTCCCGGGGAAGCCCCCCCCCCCCCAGCCAGCGCAGCGCGGCAGGTACCTGGGGAGGAATGATGTCGAACAGGTCTCCGGCAGGCGCATACTCCTGGGCAAAGACATAGCAGTCCTCGGTCTCAAACACCACGTCGAAGACCTTGATGATGAAGGGGCTGGAGGAGAGGCTGTTGGTGATGCTCACCTCCCGCAGGAAGTTCTTCAGCTTGGTTTTGCTCTTGTTCACAAACTTCAGCGCCATTTTCATGCCTGACAGGGCGGCAGCAATAGTGGTGAGGACCCCTCTCCCTGTGCGCCACACCCCACACATCTGCAGGCCTGGCTCCACCGCCCATTTCGGGCACCAGAGCCGAGCGCCCCCCCCCCCAGCCCTTGCTGTCCACCTTGTAGAGGAAGGAACCCGAGGCCAGTGAGGAGAAGGGCCTTGGCAAAGGCCCGGCAGCATCAGGCCAGCCGGGGTCTTCCACACCCGCCTGGATGAGGAGAGCCCGCTGCTTCCTTCACCCTTACTCAGTTTCTTCCTGACACGCCATATACTTGTTTACCTTGCCCACCCCCCAGCCAGCTTGCAGCTCCCAGGCCACAGGAGCCTGTCTTGTTCCTGGCAGTATCTCCAGTGCCCACGGTGAAGGCTGGCACCCAGTAGGTGCTCAGCAGGTGCGTTACATGAATGACCAGGACAGATCTGAAGAGAGGAGGGCCTGCAAGGTGTGGGAGCTCACACCCCCGTCTCTGACTGGCTGGGTGGACACCTTTTTGAGCCTACAGTGTGGAGAAGGCATCAAGCTCTGGTTGAGAGAAAATTCTGGAGCTACCCAGTGGGATGTCATCCGAGTTCAAACTCTGTGGCTGCATGACCTTGGCTGAGTGACTGAATCCCTCAGTTGTGTCCTCATCTGAGAAAAGGAGATGGCCATAGCGGCTTCATAGGGGCATCTCCCCTCCGGAAACACGATGTCCTGTTCTTGAGGACTTACCCTCAGCTCTGTCCAACTCCCTGGGGCCTGCCATCACCAAAATGCCAGAGACTCCGCAAACACCATGGCCAGCTCTGACCTCTCCCTGAGCTCCAGATGTGCCTGAGTGCATCCCCTCGGCTGTCCCCGGAGCCCCATCTGGATCTCCAGCACTGCGCCTCCAGTCTGGGCACTCTGCCCCCAGACTCCTCCCTTGGCAAGCCGCCTGCTCTTCCCTCGTTAGCTTCCCCACCTGGAGCATGGGCTCTGCTTCCCTGCTGGCCTCCTGGCCCTCAACACAGATCCTGGGAGCCCCAGGTAAGTCCCCACCCCAGCCTTAACACGGGTCCCTGCAGACACTCACCTGTGCCCTTGTAGGCCACCAGGTCAACTTTCCCATAGGTGCCTTTGCCCAGTTCCCGGACGAGTTCATAGTGCTTGGTGACGTCACTAGCGGCCAGCGTGCGGAGGGTCAGCGCCTGCATGTCTTCCGTGAGGAGGGGCACGCCCGCACCCAGCCCAGGGGCAGTCCCTGGCCCACAGCAGGGCAGGGAGCGGGGCGGCTCTGGCTCTGGGCAGCCCACGCTCATCTTCTCCCTGTAGAGGAGGGAGTGGCATGGAGTGTGTTATCCGGCCAGGGCCCCTCCTCTGCCCACTTCCTCCCTCCCAGCACCAGGATCCCTGGGGGTTGGGCCCGGACGCCAAGCTCAAGATGCCCGCGAGAGGGCAACAGGCATCCTTGCTGCCTCCTCTTTCCCCCAAGCTTCAGGGCCAGGCTGAGCCAGCACTCCTGGGAGGCGGTCACCGCTGCCGGCCCCCACTCGAGCCCCACGGGCCTGTCTGTCTCCAGATGTCACCCAGGCGGTCTCAGGCAGGGCACGCGTGTTCACGGCACACGAGGACATGCTACGTGCAGGCTGCATGTGATGCGGGGACTGCTCAACCCCACTGTTTGCCGGGTGCTGTTGGAAGTCTGGGGGACATAGCATTGGAGGAAGGAGTAAGACACCCCACCTCGTGGGACGTAGGTTCTGGGCGTGGGGAGATGGACAGCATAGTGAGCACATGCGTTATATTTTTTATAAAAGTATGTAGAGAAAATAAGGCAGGATGTGGGGGCCAGGGCGGTCTGAGGGCCCGGCTTGCAGTGGCAAGTACCTCAGCCACGTAGTCTCAAGAAAACTCTGCAGACATGGCCTCACACCTGCCACAGCCTCCCCCTCCAGACAGCGCGACCCAGCTCAGGTACAAACAGCCACAGCTGCAGTCCCAGCCCCAGGACAGAGTTCCGGTCCCACAACGACAGCCCTCCCCGCTCCTGCCCTCCACTCTCACGGCCTCACTGGGCCCTTCAGTGTCCATGTAAGCTGGCCTGGGCTTCCCAGATGCACCCACTCTTCAGGGGTTGCGGAGTTTGTCCCCAGGTGGTGTTGGGGGGCACAGAGCTGCAGTGGGGTAGATCTGGGGCTGGGTGGCAGAGAAAGCCCCCCAGGGGCCTGTGTCTCTTGTCCGATTAGTGGGGGAGGGTTAGGCTGAGCCCAGTGCCCAGGAGCCGGTGTGCCCACTTCCGAGCACGCACCAGTGGGAGAGGCCAGCTCTTGGCATCCACAGCCCCACCCCTGCAAATGACCCCCTCCCAGGGGCCTGGTTCTCTGAGAAAGCCAACCTGGAGCCAGACAGCCTGGGGGTGAATCCCAGCTGTCACCTGCCCGCTGGATCGCCTTGGGCAAGTTACTGCATCTCTGTGCCTCAGTTTCCTCATCTATAAAAAGGAATCACTAGAGCCTTGTCCCTAGGCAGCTGTAAGGAGTAAATGAGCTGGCAGACGGGAAGGACTTGGGGCTGGGTCACCCCAAGTGCTCTGTGCATGTCTGGGTCTCCTTAGCATGATCCGCATCCTCCTGCTGAGCACCCGGGGGCCTGGGCTAGGGCTGAGCCCACCTCGGACCCCTCCTCGCCCTGGCCTAGCAGCTCCCCTTCCAGCCCTCTGCTCCTCTGCACCCCCTTCCCTCTCAGCACGACCCAGCCTCCCACTTCACACCGAGAGGAGGAACATCAGGAGGGAACTTCCTGGCCTCCCACCCAGCCCCAAACGGAGCTCCATCTGCACGTCCTCCCAGCTGGCTGGGAGCAGGGAGCCCTCCCCCCTCCTGCTTCGGCTCCCGCCCTTCTGCTTCCTGAGGATCCTGCTCCCCCATTCAGCCCCCTTCCCCTCCATTCATGAACAAGCCCTGCTCTGAAAGAACCTTCCCCCAACTCCGCAGCCGCCATTCCTGTGCCCAGAGTCCCTTTGAAATGCCACGGGATGCCCTGGGGGTGTCTGGTCTGAGCCAGAACTGGCCTCTCGCAGCCCCGACGGAGGCGGGGTGCCAGGACGGAGGCGGGGTGCCAGGCCACGGAGACCGTCCTGCGTCTCTCTCTGCCCTCACGTGCCCAGCCCAACGCTGCCCTGGCACACGCACCCAGCCCTGTGCTGTCCTTGGTCCTGTGCCGCAGTCACCAGTGGGCTAGAGTGATGACATCTCCCCGCGACTCCCCCTGGTCACTCCCCCTAGTTTCTCCATCTGAATGGGCCACCTCCCCCAACCCCTGTGAGAAAACCCAGGCCCTTGTTTTGGGCTCCGTCCTGGGGTGCTTTCAATGGGTGTGCAGGGCTGTCCCGGAGGGGTTCAGATGAGCACACCCCCTCTTTGCCTTGAACTTCCCCAGGCCAGGGAGAGCTGGCTGGGCTGCTCTGCTGACCTACTTCGCCCAGTGTGTGGACTCCCTGGGGGCTGCTGAGATGTGTACACACATGTGGGGCCCCCCACCGGGCCTGCCCTCCTGGGTCACTCCAGGCTGCCTCTGCATCTCTGGGGAGCTGCAAGTTGCAAGAAGCCCTCCCCCCCGGCTCCACCCCACCAGGGACTGCTGGGTGCCTGACTTCCCAGCTGCCCTGGCCTCAGAGTTGCCCTGGGTGGGCACCAAGCTGGGTCAGACAGCCACCATAGCGTGGGGCCCGCATTCACCCCTTAGTCCCAGGTTTAGCCTGTGTTCTAACCACTGCCCTGTCTCTCCTGGGTCTTAATACCCCATCTTGTCTCCGCCAACATCCCTGCTGCCTGTGCTCACCGGCCCTGCTCCACATCCCGCCTCTCATGTCTCATCCTCAGCCTCCCAGGAAGCCTTTCCTGCTGCCCCCGCCCCCCGCCATGCCAATTCCTGCCTCTACTGAGCCCTAGGACTCAGGCAGGGTCTGTCTTTCTCAGGGCTCCTACTGACAATCTTGGGGTGTCAGTGTGTCTGTTCCCATCAACAGGCCCATCATCTGGCCCCATTTAACAAGGGCTAGACGAGGTCCATCTCTCCCTCATCCATTCCCTGGGCTCCTAGAGTTCAGTTTTGGGGGTTCCCACTTTCACCCACTCCTTGCATGCCGACCTCCCTTTCCCTGCAGGTCTGTTCTCTATGAGGTATCAGCCGGAGACAAGGCACGGACCCACACACCCGTCCCTGCTGCTGCGTCATCCCCCAGGTGCACACCGCCTCTGACCCAGTTAGGCTGCATGTGACTTAAGAGGCGCAGTAGGGAGGCAGCGCGGGCCTGGGGCTCAGGGGCCTCGACCTTGATCCTAACGTGCGCCACTTTTTAGCTGGGTGACTTTGAGCAAGTCACATCACTTCTCTGGGCCTCAAGCTTCCACAGCCATGAGATAAAGAAAATAATGTTGACAGCAGCAGCTAACCCTGTCCTTACTACACGCCAGGCCCTGTTCTTAGGGTGAGCTCACTCACCTTCACAGCTCCACGAGGTACGTCGTGTTATTGTCCCACTTTAGGGGTGAGGGGAATGAGGCTCAGAAAGACTAAATAACTTGGCCAAAGTGCTGGGGCTGGCGCTGAAATGGATCCTCTTGAACACTATGCTGCTCCTGGTCAGAATGTTGACCCAGCTCATCCAGACCCCTTAGTATCCAAGTGGGGAGACAGGTCTGGAAGAGAGCAGCGCCCCGGCGAAGGGCACACGGGCAGTCACTCCGTCCCTGCTGATGGGAGGCCAGCACAGTCCAGGTGCTGCCGCGTGAACGCACTTGGGGCTCCTGACAGTCCTCAAGGAAGGCACACCGGCTCTTTTTTCAGGTGGGGACAGCAGCCCAGGGTAAAGTAAGACACACGCGCCTCTCTGGGGGCTGAAGGATGGACGCCTGGCATCGGTGAGCCCTTGACCTTCATCGTTGCCACTGGCTCCCCTCGAAGGAGCCGCTGTGGACTGGTGGGCGGCTGTGGACTTCCCAGCACCAGGCGTGGGGCCCTGGCTGGCCCCCGCCTCCCACCTGTAGTTTGGTCTGCATCTGTCCACACTCAAGTGGATTGTGCTGGCTCAGGGAACCCCGCACTCCTTGCTCCTCAAGTGTGCGCCCTCACTGACCCTGAGGGAGCTGCTCCATTTCCTGTGCATGTGGCTGAAGGCAGGAGGGTGACACCCAGTCTTCACGGCAGTGGTTGTGGCTCTGACCACGAGGGCCCTGGCCCTGTGGGCTGGGTCTTCCGCCACTGCTGGGAAGGCCACAGTGTAGGGGGAGGGTTTCCCAAGCAAGAAGCAAGACTGAACTGCCTCCCATTTCCTGCCAGTGGGCGGCTTGAGCTGGGTGCCACCGTTAGGAGAGTTATACCCAGTGTATAACTCAACTGAGGCTTACTCTGGGACCTCCCTGTCCCCCTCTCCCCAGCCAGCTTGGCCAAATTTCATTCACTGAGTCCTCATAAGTACCCCGAGGAGGGGACAAAAACACCTTAACTGAGATAGAACTTACTAGGTTCACCCTCAGTGAGTAGCGTTCAATGTTGTAGTGAATGTAAGAGCTATGCAAACATTGCTAAAATTGAGTGATGCTTTCCATTGGATGGGTGAAGAATGGAGACCCAGGAGGCTATGGTTATGGCAAAACCTTGTGTTTCCTCTTGTGCACAGAGCTGGTCCTGAAAGCTGCTCACCTCCCCTGCATCTAGGTGTGGCCAGGGGACTGCAGTGAACAGAAATGATGTGTCACTGCCAGGCTGAGGCCTTTCAGGATGGCTCAAGTGTCTCCCTTCTTGCTTCTGTGTTCTGGCTTGGTACAGAGGACTCCCAGGCCCTAAAAGATGGTGGAGGTACAGATAGGAGCCCGGGTCCCCTGGGTATTGACAGGGTTCTTCATTCTGCATCTTCTGTGAGCCAGCAGCAAACATCTATTGTGTTAGGCTGCTGAGCTATAGGAGCTTACTTGTTATAGCCGCCAACACTACCCTAATTCAAGGGCTATGTAACAAGGAAGCAGAAGAGCCAAGAGTTGAATGTTTGTATGTTCGGATGCCTGGAGTTTGGCCATAGAAGGTAACCTGGATGGTGATAATCCAGTTACAGGAGCAGGTTGAAGGTGACCAGCCTGGAAAGAGGAGGGAACTACTCTTATCCTGTATGGTGAGAAAAAGATGTTGGCAAATACGTATTGAGCATGTTGTGCTAACCACTGTGAACTGAATCCTTTAACAATCACACAATATGTCTGGGAGGCAGGTGCTACCATTATCATCCCCATTTTACAGAAAGGGACACTGAGGCACAGATGGGCTAAGGA